AAAAAGCTAAATCGACCGACAAGGAGGTCGAGATCGTCAAGGTGGTCACCCCGACCGAGGACGCATCTGATGCAGTTCAAGACTCGCGCAATGAGTTTGTCCCAGTGTCGGATGTGGCCATTGAGACTGCGGCTAAGGCGAAGGAAGCGACGGTCCAGGAGCGTTTGTCTGCCGGAGTGGACGTCGGAGAACAAAGTGATGCCGGTCGGGATGTTGAGGAGAAGGACGATGCTGCTTGAAGTCCTTGAACATTTATGATTTTATACTTCTAGTTTTCTCGAGTTATAATATGTAATCGGGGCGCCAGTATGTTGGCATCCTTAGTAGGAAATATATCAATATGTTTTTAAGTAATCGGGGATGTCAGATTGTTGACTCCCTTAGTAGGAAATGTGTAAGGATTTTTCCGACTTTCTAATATAAATATGATGTGTTTGCGTAACATCTGTCTTGATTTCATTTTGCTGTATAAGTTTCAGCGATTTTTCGACCAACTGTACTGAACTCGGTATGGATTTTGAGATGAATTGTTCCAATTCGGATTTATTCATATTATTAACCGAGTTGGGGGTTTTGTAAAAATAGCTTCCGAGTTCCACTATGATCCGTGTATTTTCAGCCACTAGTGTAAGTTTGTATACGGACTTACTAAGAATTCGCAAAACTTCACGTATTTTTGGGCTGTACGTAAAACAGAACGGAGTTCACCGAACTTCGTCAAAGTTCGATTAAGGAGCGGCCCCAACCGATTTGTATCTTTTGTATTCGGTGCTTTTCGGGACCCGCCAAATCATGTTTGTTGAAATGACGTTTGACGAGCTTCAATCCCCAACCAAAACATGCGTAGGATTTGGATAGATTACGGGGTATCAGCAAGACCGAGTGTCGCAATGCTTACATCGGTACAAAACATTTATAGAACCGAGTTTCAAAGTATTTTACATCAGTACCGAGCTGTTGCTCGGGTTTTCAAAAGTGAAAGTCGGTAGACTTTCAGTACATCAAAAGAGTCACTTTGTACATTCAGCGAAGCAAAAGAAAGTTCCGTTCAAAGGAAGAATCGGATATCTGACTTCGGAACGCTCATTGATAGAATTTCTTTAGGAAAACAGCATTCCACAGATATTGATGTGGAGTTCCATCAAGATGAGCAATTCGGTAGGCCCCATGAGGTAGGACTTCGACAATTTGAAAGGGTCCTTCCCACCTCGGTTTGAGTGGGCCGGGGTCGGCCCCCATCACGCGTTTGAGCACTAGATCTCCAACTCGGAATGTACGCGGCTTGAATTTGGAATTAACGTATCTTTCACTTCGATGTTTATAAGCAGCATTTTTGAGCTCGGCACGGATACGATGTTCTTCAAGCAAGTCCAGATTGACTTTCAGGTTATCCGAGTTGGACTCTTCGGTAAAATGTTGAATTCGGTAAGTGGGTTCACTGAGTTCAACTGGGACTACGGCTTCTGATCCGTAAGTGAGTGAGAACAGGGTCTCGCCGGTGGAAGTTCGGGTAGTTGTCCGATATGCCCATAAAATGTGTGGCAATTCCTCAGGCCAAGCTCCTTTGGCAGCGTCAAGTCGGACTTTAAGGCCATTTTTTATGAGCTTGTTCACAGCTTCAACTTGACCGTTGGATTGTGGGTGATAAGGTGAGGAGAAGAAGTGTTTGATGTTATATTCTTCGCACAGGGACTCAAGTCGCTTGCCTTCAAACTGTTTACCGTTGTCGGTAATGATGGAGTTCGGTACTCCGAAGCGGCAGATGATGGATTTCCACACAAAGTCAATGACTTTCTGTTCAGTTATTGTGGCTAACGGTTCGGCTTCGGCCCACTTAGTGAATTAATCAACTGCTACGATGGCGAACCGGACACCTCCTTTCCCGGTTGGCAGGGGACCTATGAGATCGATTCTCCATTGGGCGAAAGGCCATGGAATGTAGATTGATTTGAGCTCTTCGGGAGATTGGTGGACGTTTGGTGCGAATATTTGGCATTTCGGACATTTGCGAACCCACGCGGCAGCGTCGATTTTTAAGGTCGGCCAGTAATAACCCTGTCGCAAGACTTTGTAAGATAAGGCCTGCGCACCAGGGTGACTTCCGCAAACTCCTTCATGGACTTCTTCAAGGATATACCGCGAGTCTGATTCATTCACGCATCTTAAAAGCGGGATGGAGTATCCTCTTTTGAATAAAACTCCGTTGTCCAGTGTATATCGTGCTGCTCGGATCCGAAGTGCCCGAACTTCCTTAGGGCTTGCTGATAAGACCCCGGTTTCTAAATATTGAATGATTGGATCCATCCAAGTCGGGGATTTTTGTGATGTTGTGGGGTCTAAAACGGCGACTTCGGGAAGACAGGTAGATGGTTGTTCTTGCTGTCCGACTTGGACATACTCCACGCTCTCCATCCCGGTGCTTGAGGCTAATCGAGATAGAGCGTCTGCTTGAACATTGAGGGTTTGTGGAATGTGCTCTACCTCGGCAGCAAACTTGGATAACTTCTTTTTTGCCAGAGATAGATATGGGATTAACCGAGGTTCTTTGACTTCGTATGAGCCATTAATTTGGTTGACGAGGAGCTGAGAGTCTGAAAAGACCTTCAATTGTTTCACGTTCATTGATTCGGCCAAATCCAATCCAGATAGTAAGGCTTCATATTCGGCTTCATTGTTGGTTGCAGGGAAGAGGAATTTTACAGAATGACAAAACAGTCGATTGTCTGGGTTCGACAAGACTATTCCCGCACCCGCTCGGTTTGCTGTCGAAGAACCGTCGATATAGAGAACCCACGGCTGGTTGTTGTGATGAGCCTCTATGGCCGGGGTGAATTCAGCGATGAAATCAGATAAAGCCTGTGCCTTGATCGCGGTCCTCGGTTGATAGTGGATGTCAAATTGTCCGAGTTCAATTGCCCACTTTATGATATGACCCGAAGTGTCAGGTCGGTGCAGGACTTGTCGTAGTGGATATGAAGTGCGGACAGATATAGATTGTTCTTGGAAATAAGGTCGCAATTTCCGAGCAGCGATAACGAGTGCAAACGCCAATTTTTCCATAGGGGGATAACGCAGCTCAGCATCATGTAATGCCTTGCTGATATAATAGAACGGTGACTGTAACAGTCCTTCTTCACGTACTAAAATGGCGCTGATGGCTGAATCGCTGACTCCGAGGTATAAAAACAACATCTCCTCGGGTTTTGGTTTTTGTAAGGTTGGTGGAGAGGTGAGTGTGTCCTTGATGCTGATGAGGGCTTTTTGGCATTCCTCGGTCCATTCAAAATGCTTTCCTTTCTTGATTGCTTCGAAAAACGGTTTACACCGATCTGTGGATTTAGAGATGAACCGGTTAAGTGCTGCTAGTCGGCCAGTTAGGGCCTGAACACCTTTGACCGAGGTCGGGGGAGTTAGATTTTGAATGGCTTTTATCTTGGCCGGGTTGGCTTCAATTCTGCGTTGGCTGACCATATAGCCCAGAAATTTTCCAGATTCAACTCCGAAGGTGCACTTCCTGGGATTCAAGACCATAGAATAAGATCGGAGAATATTGAACATGTCCTGAAGGTGTGTTATATGATCAGAGGCGTGCACCGACTTGACGAGCATATCTTCTACGTAAACTTCCATGGTATGACCGATTAAACTGAAAAACATCTTGTTAACAAGACGCTGATAAGTGGCCCTAGCGTTCTTTAATCCCAATGGCATCATGGTACAACAATAAAGGCCGCTAGCTGAATAAAAAGAGGTGTGTTCCGAGTCTTCGGGATCCATAGGGATTTGATTATACCCGGAGTATGCGTCCATGAAGCTCATTAACTCGTGTCCCGATGTGGCATCAACCATATAATCTATGTGCGGGAGTGGGTAGCTGTCTTTCGGGCACGCCTTGTTCAAATCAGAAAAGTCGATACACAGCCTCCACAGACCATTGCTTTTATTGACGAGAACAGGGTTTGAGACCCATGTCGGATATTTGGCCTCTTTAATGAACTTGTTGTCGATGAGTTTCTTTACTTCCTCTTCCAATGCTGTCTGGCGATCCGGCCCCAATTTCCTTCGTTTTTGAACAATAGTCCGAACAGTTCGGTCGAGGTTCAACTTGTGACTAGCAACTCCGGGGTCGATGCCCTTCATGTCTTCGTGTTTCCATGCAAACATGTCTGAATTTTGTTTGAGAAACGAAATGAGTTCCGACCGGAGAGGCTCTTGAAGATGACTTCCAATGCGCAATGATTTATGGAAAATCGGTTCATCGACATATATCAGTTCTACTTCTTCTCTAGGTTCGGCTCGATCATTTCGGCTTTTTTCCTTGAATTGGGCCCTTGGGTCCAACTCATCTTCTTCGAGGAGTGGCTCCTTTCCTGGCCGCCTACCTCGGTCTTCAGATAAAGGGTCCGAGGTGGGAGGAACAGCGGTGTTGTAATTTGGTTCCTCGGAAATCGCATCATCCGAGGTGTTTCGTTGTGGGGGATTATTATCGTTCCCTGAAGTGATGGAATAAACTCCGCCGGATGGTACGAAAGTAACAAGTTCTCGAGCTTCCCGTTGGTCTCCAAAATGAGTCCCTTCTCCTCGTGTAGTTGGGAACTTCAGTGCGTAGTGAAAGATCGAAACCGCAGCTCGAAGCTTGTACAAAGTTGTTCTGTCGATGATGGCGTTATATTCGTTGTTGATGTCAAGAATTTTGAACGTTTCCATGACAAGTTTGGTGACGTTCTCCGAAGTGCCAAATCTGACAGGTAAAGTGATCTCGCCGATGGGCTTTGAAATGCTGCCATTAAACCCCTGTATTTGGTCGTTACAAGGTCGGATGTCAGCAGGATCGAGACCCATTTTGTCAAAGGCTTTCAACAAAAAAATGCTCGAGTAGGCCCCAGTGTCGACCATTACGCAATGTACAGGGATTCCGCATATAGGAACAGTAATAACAAGTGCGTCAGAATGAGGGTGTGCGAAATGATTTGCATCCTCCATATTAAATGTTATGGGACAATTCCTGTTGTTGAGGATGTCTCTCAGATCGGTAGTGTACACTTGTTTACTGGAATTGTAAGCTTGTCGAGCGTAAGCTTTGACTTGTCGACGGGATAATGTACTCCGAGTGTTGTTAGTATTGACGCGGTGGACAGTTATTTGCATCAGGCTGGGAGATCTGCTTCGCTTGCGTCTTCGAGAGGTTCCAGTTGAATTGGAATCGAGCACTTCCGAAGTGAACATGAATATTTCCTTGTCTCCTTGCCGGATACGCTTCGGTATAGCACCGCGGTCCTCCTCGTCGTCATCATCATAAGATTCCATTGGACGCCCTGGGCCCCGTTTCTGAGGATCGGTGTTACGATAGAACTTTCTGAGCTGTGGATGACCGATTAAACGCAACAAAGCAGCTAATAAGCTTAAGCACTCGTCAGTATTGTGTCCTGGCGATTTGTGATAATCGCAATATCGGGATTTGTCCAACTTTTCTTCGGGCATCCGAAGTGGCTTGGGATCCGGTAAAATGCCTTTCCCTTTGATTTCTTCGTATATGGTGGCAGCCCCAGTTGAATATACGGTCTGATAACCGGATTTTACATCGGTGGCATACTGTTTTCGGGCTGCTCGTACTTCAGGATCGTTGGGATCTCCCCGAGGAGGCCCTCTGAATTGAGTCTTGTTCTGCTTTTCAAAAAACTTATTTTTCTTCTTCTCGTCGGTTCCCGCCTTAGATGACTTCGGGTTAAAATTAAAGTCGGGGACCGACATGGCTTCTTCGGCTATGATGTGTTGCTGAGCTCGAGTAAGAAATTCTTGAAAGGTGTTTGGTTTATTTTGACACAGTGTCCAACAGAAAATCGAGTTCGGTTTCAGCCCGGCAATAGCCATGACAAGCAGGGTTTCAGGATGACAAGGCTCCATATTCTGAACTCGGTCGTTAAACCGAGCGATGTAATCATTGACACTTTCATCGTCTTTTTGTGTTACATTTGCGAGAGATTCTTTTGGAATTAGACAGACTTGGGCCCCGATGAAATGAGATCGGAAAGCCGACCTCAATTGTTGCCACTTCCAAATAGAGTGAGGGGGAAGAGAATGGTACCACTTTTGGGCCCGAGGCCCCAGCGTGAGAGAAAACATACGGCATCGAAGTGCGTCTGAGGCCCCATGCAGATCCATCCACGAAGTATAGTGATCGAGGTGTGATTCGGGGTCTGAAGTTCCATCATATAACCCAATTTGAGGGACTTTAACTTTCCCAGGTACAGGTTCTGAAGTGAGCTCCGGTGTGAGAGGGGAGTCGGCTTCCAGATATACTTGCGCCGAAGTTGAGGCCCGCCGAGGGGGGTCTTCGGGTGCTTGTTGCCGACTTTCCAGTTTGGCAATTCTTCGTCGTAACGTTTCAAGTTCGGATGATTCTTGACGAGCTCGATTCCTTTCAATGTGTTGCCGAAGGTCGGTCTGCGCCAGGTTGGAAGGGATTCGGTGCCGTGCATGAGGCGGTGACCATCGTGAATGACCCGACTGACTTTCGGCGGTTTCTTCATGAGGAAGTACAAGAGGATTGCGCCCAACGTCGGTGCAACGCGCAGTTTGTTCCGGAGGCGGCTGCGACGCTCGACTACGGGGTTGAGACGTGGCGTGAGATGTGGTCCTTCTGCCGTCTTGCCGTGCTGGTGGATTCTGCAGATTTGCAGGTGTTGTGGGTATTATGGAATGTCCCGGGGCAGTCGTTGAGGCTCCAGGGACCATTTGAGCCATCAAGGCAGCAAATCCACGTGCAAACTCTGGATTTTGGAATAAAACAGTGTAATCCGGTATATGGGGGGCTATGACTGGTCGTCGGGCGGATTGCGCAGCACTGCGACTGTGGCCATCTCGTGAAGTATGGCCACGATGATCAGAATGAGACATGATTAGTATAGCTGATGTGGATCGCTTAATCGGAAAGTAACCTCAAATCACTTATGAGGCCCTCCTTCTAGCGCCAAACTGTTGTTGTATGATTCTGAACAACGATTTAGTAAGGGTTTTATATGATAATCACGAGTGGTTTGGACGTAAATCATGCAAGAAAAACTCAACAGTGGCCCCGGTCCGAGGTGGACCGAGGTGAAAAGCCTTTGTGGGCTGTTGCGTGTTGCATTGTGAATCTTGATTTTTTGGGTCCGGAATCGAATCCCATACAAATATCACTAGCTGGCTATTTATAGAAACTTTTTGATACATACGTTGGGATCCGTGTATTACTTTTTAGAAAAGGCTATTTTAATGGGCGGCCGAATCAGTGGGCCCTACGTGAATGATGATGAATCTCGTAGATTGTGATGGGGGCGCGTAGGCGCCTTGTCACCTGCTTTCGGAGATGATGACTTTGGTTCATATTGACCTCGGTTTGGGATGACCTCGGCGGGTATGTATCACTTCGGTCTTCTAAGGTCGTACTTGTTTATTGTGTGAACCGAGATGACTTTGAATTACTTTGGTGCTTGAGTCAACTTTACTTATAATGCTGTTAAGGTTCTTAATTGTACTTTACCGAGTCGGATGATAACAATATCTATAGCCAAAACATCTCCTGGGGAGATGATTCTTTATTAACAGCGAAAAGCACAAAAATTACATAAAACGAAAAAAATTCAAGCATAATATTTTTTTAGGTTCATCACATTCCATGGCCTAGGAGACGCCTTACTTGTGCATCCTTCAATGAGTAAGCTCCTCCTGCATGGACTCTCTCGACTGTATACTGTCTTTGCCAATTAGGTTCAAGCTTCCCGACATGCTTCAAAACATAGACCCTATTCCAAACAAGGTCTCCGACCTGGAACCTTTGGACCTTGACGTTTTTTTTTTTTTTTTGTCATAAATGATTCACATTCTTTGTTTGTAAGCTGTAACTAGAACTGCTACATGCTCCCTCATCTCATCCATCGTTTCTAAGGCCGCTCGAGCTAACTCATCATTCTGTTCTCTCTCATAAGTCAAAGACCTTTGTAAACTCAATTCAAACCTCAACTAGTAAACAACGCTTCCATTCCATAAGCAAGGCTAACTAGAGTCTCCCTTGTTGTCGACCTCGGGGTCATTCTGTATGCCCATAAAATATATGTCAGCTCGTAAACCCAACAACCGATATCACGTTCTAAACTCGAATTAGGGCCATTCAGAATGATCCTATTTGTGACCTCTACTTGACCATTAGCTTGCGGATGAGCTAGTGAAACAAATTTTTGGTTGATCTTCATATCCTCGCACCAAGCCCTTATTCTTCAACGATTAAATTGGGTCTCATTGTCTGACACCAATACTATAGGAACTCAAAATCGACAATCGATGCTATTGTACAATAATTGTATAAAGGCTTGGCCTCCACCCTTTTAGTAAAATGGTCTACTGCTAGGATCAAAAGCTTTCTTTGACCTGTTCCTTGAGGTTGTTGCCCAACCAGACCGACCTAGTGCTCTGAAGACCACCAATATCCTCAATCTTCGATCGACATGTCAGTTAATCTAGTTAGGTTTGACCGGTTTTTGGGTCGAGTTGACCCGGTATGGTATCCTATATCAATCGTATATTAATAAAAAATATTACCATCACATGTATCTCACGTGCACTTTAATCTCACGTGCACTTTACTAGTCTTAGAAAAAGATTGTATCTATTATTGAACTCTTATATAGAGAATATCATAATACAATATAAAATTATTGATAAAATTTTATACAATTAAATATTATACATATAAAATAAATATAAAATATATTAATTAAACAGGTTAGACAGATTAGACCGATTTGACCACTAGTCTGACTAGTGAACTGTATTGAAATGGTAGTTTCAAAACCTTGGTGAAAACTATCAATAGTTTATTTTGTTGGACAACAAGTTAAGTTAGTTACTTATTTTTCAGTTTTAATTCTTCTTTTCAAAAAGCGTACTTGTAATTATATGTAACATAGCAAAGTTCTAAAAACTTGTTTAAGGTGGCCGTTGAGCACCGTTGTTTATTTTAGGCAACCGATTTACGCGTTCAGATAATTAGAGCATCTCCAGCAGTGTTTCAATTGTAGAATTGTAGAGGCAGTGCTTGGAAAAACTTCTCCAATGGTTAATTTTCCACTTCTATTTTTGATGATGTGACATGAAAGGGACATAAAAATATCTAGAACTCTTTCAACATCTCAAAGTCCAGTTAGACATGATAAATCACGTTTTCTTCTATTTATTTATTATACGGGTTGGATATGACTGTTTCATTTACTCTTAAAAAGGTACCTGATATAAAAGTACATGATGCATGTCAGCTGAGTGTAAGTGGGTGGTAGGGAATTCAATGAAGTTATTCGAAAAGTTAATATTGGCGTTGATACAATCAGAAGCTATGATTCATTACAAAAATAATTTATAATATTTTTTTTATGTCTACTCTTAAACTGAGAATGAAATTGACGACGGTGTGCAATATATATTGTTGAAAATATTGCGATTTCTTGTTGGTTCAAAGTTTGCTCGTCATTTTCCCAGCAAGTTTTTTGCCCTTTTTTGAACAACAAAAAAAAAAAAAAAAAAAAACAAAAAACAAAAAAAAGCAACATTTGCCATGTATAAACATTTTCCAAAAATATAGTGATTTCATGCTGGTTCAAAAGTTCGACATCTTCCCTGCAAGTTTTTTTGCCCTTTTTTAGAACAAAAAAAAAAAACACGTTATTTATGACCATTCTAGTCTATTCAGTCTACATGGACAAAAGACCATCTATTAATTTCCCTACATACTACAGTTCACTTCCATTAGAAATGCTTTTAGGTGGCTAAACATGCTACGTTGGTTGGGCGGCCTAGGTGCATATTTTTTTATTTTAAATTAAATAATATATATTATGAACTAAGAATAATAAATATTAGAAAATATTAATATTTTTTTAATTCTCATATTTCTCGCCAAGTTCCACTTAGGTGTATTTGATAAGTACTATAAGCTAGCTTATAGCATATTTGTTAGTTTGTAAGTTTTTTGTATATAATTTAGTTTGGTTTGATAGAACGAGATTTATTAATAGCTCGAGTTGATTTCGTAAGTTTTTGAGTAGTTTTTCTAATAAGTTCATTGAAACTTATATTTTACATGACTTATTAGCTTATTTTACAAAATACTTCTATCATACCAGCTAACTTTTCAACCATAAGCTATCACTTACAACAAACAACATACCCAGTATATTCCCAACCGGTTGGGGTCTGGGAGGTCAGTTGTACGCAAACCTTACCCTTGTGATTGAAATTGAAATTCAATTATAAACTATCAGTTATAAAATTGAAATTCACTTATAAACTATCAACTATCAGCTAGATTTATCAGCTATAGCTATAAGCTCAAAATTACTTATAAGCTATCAAGTAACTTATTAGCTACCAACTGGATTATTATAATTATTTTTTTTTTCCAACGACAAACAAAATAAAATTACTCAATAAGAAATGTCTTACAAACGAGGCCTAACTAGGCACCATAGTCACCAAAACCAGTACACACACTAGCTCTGGTGACCCCAGGATGATTGAACAATCTTACTGTTTGTCCCATTTTTGTTGCATTTTTCGTGTTTATTTTATCTTTCTTTTTCTCCCGTTTTAGGTTGTTTCTTTATTTTTTAGTCCGTTTCGTGTTTTATTATGTGTTTTCCTTCATTTTGAGTCATTAGGTGTTTTTTGTTTGTTTTTCCGGTTTTCTTTTGTGTTTTGTCATTCTTGGTGTGTAGGTCGAAAGATTCGGGCGAATTTTCTCTTCAGAAAAAGTTGGTTTCGAGAGCATAACTAGATAGAGGGGTTTGTTACCGACGCATAAGAAAAAACGGAACTCAATTCCGAGTTCGGACGAGCTCAAACGAGGCGAAAACGCAAAATGGCGCAGTGCAGCCCAAAATCTCGCGAGTCGCGAGCACAAAGTCGCGAGTCGCGAGTCGCGAGTTTTGGTCGCGACTCGCAAGAGAAAAGTCGCGACTCGCGACTTTAACAGAGCCTCCAGCAGCCCAGCGACCCGTCCAACTCGTGACTCACGAGTAAACTCGCGAGTCGCGACCCTATCGACCCCTGTTTTTATTTTTGCTCGTTTTTACTCGTTTTAGCTCCATTTTTCGTGCACTATATATCAAAACGAACCTCCAGACCTAAGGAACAACCCTCAATATCGTTCCTTTCAAATTATCTCTCTAAAAACTCAATATTTTTAGGATAATTTTCTTCGCTTTTCTTTTTATTTTCTCATGCTTGGATTGTTGGACACAAAGACATTTGGATTGAAAACTTTCAAGTCTTAATCCGATTGTAAGTTTTTTAATTCTATTTCATTATTGGTGATTGGTTTTTTGTTCTTAATTCCAGTTAACATGAGATTGAATCTAAGCATGAGGTAATCCATTCACCTAAGGGTTAGGGATTTTGATTCTTGTTTGAATTATGTGGAATGTGTTTTGTTCAATCTATGAGAGTTGTGTGAATTATAGGGTTAGTTGATTGATTACCATTCTAACCTAGTTAATCGACGTTTAGAACCGAGAGGGGAGATGTCGGTCGATTTAGGCTCGTATAGAGTAGACTTGTTCAGAAACGTATTGTCTATGTGTTGCTTATGTGAATGAGTTTATCGTTTACGTA